CACGCACAAGCACAGACTTTGCAAATGATAAAAGAAATAGGACAAAATATAAATCATTGGTACATTTGGGTAATTGATATGAAAAAGATTTTTGACTATTCTTGTAACTTTTCTGTGTTTGAAACTGTATCAAAGTAAAGTTTAAAAAAATTACAACCAAATAAGTAGGTTGGAAATAAGTAAGTTCATTCACTGTGAGAAGCTGGGGCAAAAAAAAAATCTAAACAAAGTAGAAAAAAGGAAACAATAATATAAGAGCAAAGTTAGTGAAGCAGAAAGCAAGGAAATAATAGAGAGGTCAATAAAACCAAAACAGTTCTTTGAAAAAACTAAAATATAAATTAAAAAAATAAACACAAACCTCTAGCAAGACTATCGCAAAGAAGAGTACAAATGAAAAATATTAAGAAAGATTTACTAAAGACACAGTAGAGATTTAGGAATGTAAGAGAATGACTGGAACAACTTTATAAGAATAAACTAAAGAATCTACACTGAACAAAAATTAAGAAAAATATTATTTACCAAAATGTATTTCAGAATAAATACATCATCCAAATAAAACAAGAACTATTTAACACACTGAAATAGTATTCAAAATTCTCCCCTCAAAAAAGGCAACAAGTCCAAAGATTATAACAACTATTGCCAAATTTCCAAGAACAAAGAATATCCATTTCAAAGAACAAAAGAGGGAAAGCTACTCAACTAATTTTATAAGTATAATCTTGCTAACTAATAACAAGAAAAAACACAAAATAATATATTAGTAAATCGGTTTAGCAGTACATTTTAAAAGGATTATATACCAGAGTCAAGTAGTTTATCCCAGAATATGTGGGTGATTCAACAACAGAAAAACTGATCAATGGAATTTATCACAGTATAAGGAAAAAAAATTCAACATAATTATCATACCTGATGGAGGAAAAAAAACTTAGAGCAAAATTTAATACTCATTCTTGATACAAATTCCTAACAAATTACAACTAGAAATACTGTTAACCCAATGAAGGTTACTATCAAGAAGCTTCAGCAAATACAAGATTTAATGAAGAAACTTTAGAATCTTTTGCATTAAAAGTCAGAAACATGATGAAGATGCCTGCAGTCACTCAGATTACTCAACACTGCTGTGGAGATTTAAGCCAATGCACCAACACAAATAATAATAATGAGAAGGTAGAAGAGTAAGAGAAAAGAAAATTTGAAAAAAACACAAAAAACACAAAACCATCATTTACAGAAGATGTCACTACACAGAAAATATTCCAGAAAAATCTATAAACGATGGGAAACTGGACAGAAGGATATTATGCAACTACCAGCAATAACCAATTAGGAAAATGTTTTTTTTTTAGGAAAATGTTAATTAAAAAAATTGTCATTTACAATGGCAGCAGATATTATGTACAGCCTAAGAAGAAGCCTAAGGAAAGATACATAAATATGTGTGGTAAGCATTACAGAATGTTACTTAAAGACATAAAAGAAGACCTAGATAAAAGTGGAAAGATAGACCACAGACATAAATGGGAAGACTAATATTTTAAAGATGTCAACTGTCTCGAGCTTAAAATTCAGCACAATTCCTATGAAAATCGCTATTTCACAGGACAAGACAAAATGATCCTAAAATTTTTACAGAAGAATAAATGACCAAGAATAGACAGAATTGAAACCAAAGAATGAGGCAGACAGACTTGTCCTACTTCTTATAAAGCTATGATAGATAATTAAGACAGTTTGATATTGATGCAAAGAGAAATGAATGGACCAAAGGAACTGAACTGAGATCCTCAGACCCCAAAAGCACAGGACAACCTGGTGTGAGACAGAGGTGTCATTACAAGGATGAGCCCTTCAATATCTTATGTTATGATAATAGGTAATCCACTAGGTGGTAAAGGAGAAAGAAATCTTGACCACTACTTACTTATAATTAAATTTGAGATGGAAATAAAGAGCAAAACAAAATGTAAAGCAAAATAAAACTTCTAAACTTTTAAAGGAAATGTAAGAAAATAACTTATTTGTGAAATATTTTAAAGTATAATCTTTAGGAAATCATTAATAAACTTCAGTGCATTAAAATTTTAAAAGTCTGGATCACTAAAAAGATCAAAACCAAAGTAAAGACAGAGAGAAGGTATGTGTGATACATTTAATCAAAAAAAAAAAAAAGATTAGAATTCAGAATATACAGACTCTTAAAACCTATAAAAAAGTTCCAAAACTTCCAACAGAAAAAAATGGGCAAAAGATATGAACAATCAATTCACAAAAGAAAGTCAAATAGCCAGTAAATACATGCAAAGGAGCTGAGCCTCACTAATCACGGGGAGATTCAACTTTAAAACCTCAGTGAGGTATCATTTCACATCTACCAGACGGGTAACGATGAATAATACCCAGCGTTGGCCAGAAACACTGAAACTCTCAGACACGACAGGAAGGAGATACATCAGTACCACTACTGGCAATAAAGAAAAGCAGCTGACAATATCCAGGACAGCGGAAGATGGGCAAACCCCATGATCCAGTTTTTCTATTTCTAGGAATGTTCCCGAGAGTAGCATTTTTCAATCTGATGGGTCTCAATCCTTCAGGGGTTATAAAATCAACAATTAAAAACAACAGAATAAAACATATCAGTATATACATATACTTTTAAGGCTAAGTGTCACTTACTAAAACTGTATTAAGTAATGTATGTATATATATTCATGTGCTGGGTTCTTATATAAAATGTAGTTGATAATATGGAATTTTAATGAAACTGCTCTAGGGAAATGTTCCCACATGTACACAAGGATGTTCACTGTCAGTTTATAACAGCAAACAACTTGGGAAAATATCTGAATTGTGTTCATTAAGAGAATAAACTGCAATATATTTTTACTATGGAAAAATGTGAGCCAACAAAAAGAATGAAATAGACTAAACATATCAACATGGATGTTAAAAAGAGAAAAGTGAAAAAAAAAGTTGAAGAAGAATACATATGGTTCACTGCCACTTCTATAAGTTGGGAAAAATTCACAGAACTATGTATTTTTGTGCAGACTTACCCCATGGAATGTTAGGAATGATACGTATTAGGCTGAGGTTAGCTGTTACTTGATGCGAGAGCAGAGTAAAAAGGGGCTCCAATTCTATTTGGAAATTTTTTGTTTTTCAAAATCTCTAAGACCAACCTGTGGCAATGATTTATCTCCATCCGCATGCATCTTTAATTTCATCAATGCCACCTTTGCAGCCGTTTCACTATTTTTTGCACCTTTCCGCCGTTTACTTGCTGTCTCTCCTGTCTTGGAATCTAAGAAATAAGTATAAGCAGATACACACATAAGAACTTTATTTTTCAGAGTTTTTTTATAAAATATGGCCCTAAACATACATGAACTACACATAATAGAGATACACAGAAACTGCACTCAGTTTGTAGGCATTATATTCACACGATCAATGGAAACATAGCATTGAGTGGCCCTACGCAATTTCCACACCAAAAAACTCATTGTTAGGTGCTTATTTCCAACTTAAACTTATTTAATCCAAAGCAATCACTTACACTTCTACAGAGAACTTTAAGATTTGGTTATAGGAGGTTTTAATAAAAGTACTATCCTTCATATACAGTGAAAATGTAGCTGAACTACCATGTTGGCAGAGAGACGGGTCTAAGTCATACATTCTTTCCTCATACCTCAGATTACCACCAGCATTCGTGGGACAGCTCACTAAGCTTAAGCTCTAGTCTCTGAAGAGTGTAAACTGCCACTTCAGCCCCATAAATACTATTTCCTGCCATGATGGTTAACCAGCTGGTATGTGATCCAGCAAGAGAACATTATTAGGGTATTTCCATAGAATTTCCAAATTGTTATTGGCTAGGTAAGCCCTGTGAGAAATACTGCCACAAGAATGTCATCAAAACCGAAAGCAATTTGTAAGTGTCAGGACCATTAACAATACCTTCCACAACGGGCAAGCTGCCACAAGGGGCAGGAGTTCTGGAACTCAGAGTACACAGCAGGGAGGAAAAACAGAACAAGCCTTCCAGATACTTGCCAATAATGTCTTTCACAAGTTTCTGAGTGGCAGCCATGCGAGGCTTAGGGATTTCCAGTTTTTCACATTCATGATCTGACTGATGACGGTGTCTGTGGGCAACGGAAGAGTGACATTAGTTCATGTATTTGCATATGACTTAAACAGACAGCTTGAATGATTTCATTGATCACCTCAGGCAAAAATTCTTCTCACAAAAAGGACACACCACTGGCACGAGCTCTCTTCCAGCACAGTCCCTGAAGGAGCATGGGTAAGATGTGTGTGTATCTGACTTCAGTCTCTCATTGATTACAGTCACCTGAAAACGTAAAAAGGGGGACACGGCTCTGTATATCACGTTTAAAGCAACTCAACAAATCTATTCTGAATATTCATAACGTTGCTTAAACTTATGAGTTACTTACACATTCCTACACAGATTATAATAAATGTTTGTGTGAGAAATGACCACTGTGCTGACTGCTCTACATTTTCATAGTTTTCCTGCTGTGGTGTATTTATCTTCTAAGTCAAGTTAAAATGACTGTTCAGTTACTCTTCATAATTTTAGTCTTCTACTTTGGAATGTACTGCACAAAGATGCCCCCATAATCATATGCCTAGGTAACCAGCTCATCACCCCTTCAAATGACAAGTCATATCTACTCTCTACACTAATCTTAGAGGCTTAAATATATGTAAAAGAATACTTAAAATTATGTTTATCCATGATACAGAAGGTTAAAGACAGTTTTCACAATGATATACTATTCTTCATTCTGTATTTAATATTGTATTATCAGCAAATATTACATCAGAGGAAAAAGAGATTTTATACGATTAAAAAAAATCCAGATTACTCAGGCTATGGAGTATTAAGTAAGTAGGTTTCTAGAGTTGAATAAACTCAGTTGATCCTTGAACAACTCAGAGGTTGGGGTACAAATCTTCCATGCAGTTGAACTATAACTTCACAGTCAGCCCTTTACAGCCACAGTTCCATATCTGCAGATTTAATGCATGGCATAGTACTGGAGTACATATTTGGTGAAAAAAAATTCACATATAAGTGGACCCACACAGTTCAAAGCCATGTTGTTCAAGAGTCAACTGTAATTGCTTGAAATCTATAACCAAAGGGCATTCCTCTATATAAGTGATAGTTACATCTTGTTGGAATTAACTTCTTAACTATTTTTCCAAATTTGTTCCAATGGTCTAAAGGTAGATGATTTTCATTTCACTTCTTAATTAAGAAGATCTAATTGAGAAACATTCTATGAGAGACATTCACAAAAAATCAAATGATATCATAAGAAAAAGGAAAGCACAGGGAAGATTTACCAGCTGTGTAAGAAACACCAATATGTTTATTATGTATTTCTTTCCAATTAATCCTGCATAATATGTTCATCTTTATTTCCCGCAAATAAATCACCTAAACTTCAAAGGGTCAGATTTTGACTGAAGCTCATTTAACCTTAATTTTCTATAGCTGAGAGAACAGACATAAAAATCCTTGGTACAGTGTCTGATAAATGGGGAACAGGAATAAATATCAACTGAAAAACATGAGGCAAATGCTTCTTTTCAAATGGAGTGAATTTATTTATTTATCCTGCTGATCTCTGACCCCAGGGAGGTGGAGCAACTTCTCTGAGAACAAATTTGAAAAAATCCCATTAGGCACAGTGGGCTCAGCTTTCCCTTTTTCTTCTCTTGGAACTGAATGAACTGCCCTCAGAGAGGAAGCTAAACTGGTGCAGCACTGCTGTGACTGGTGAACAGTTCAGGATTTCCTTTGCAGACCCACTTACTTGGCTCTACACTAAGCTTCTTCACTTGGTTGACCCTTTATCAGCAGTAGAGATGACATTTTGGCTTCTCTCCAACAGCCCTTTTTAATCTCTTGATTTGGTCAGAATTAAGGTGAGGATTTTGTTGGACTACAGATTTGTTCCTGGGGATCTAGGGCTAGCTGAGTCAGAACAATTTATTACCACAGAATCCTAACACCAGGTACCAGTGAAAATGAACGCAACAGTGAAGCAAAATTGGAAGGAGCAGATGACCAGGATGCTAATTTCATGATACATTTACAAATACAGAGCCTCAAGCTCTAAGTCGGCTACTTAAATAGAACTGAACTATAAAGGAATAAGAATGATAAGAATAACAATTTATAAATATAAGTAGACCTATTTATCTTGAAAACAAACTGAGAAAAACAATATAAAGTAAGATCCTCTATACATAATCAGTTTAGTATGCTCTATTTTACTCTGTGGTACACTGGTTTTAAATTGAATCAAATTCTGAGCAAAAATACATAAATATAAACATGTTTTATCAGAAGAACTATTGACATACCTCAGGACAGCCATGTGACTCCCTGCTCCTGTGTTCAAGGCTTAAATAATTTTAAAACAGTGTTTATTTAAAAGCAATCAAATAATAAACTTAAAATAATTGAAGTAATTTGAGATATTTTAATGGTTAGTATTCTTAAGAGTAATTATACTCACGCTACAGTAACAACTCTGCGTGTAAGAATAAATTGAAATGATATATGAGAGAGCATCAATAGTCTCAAGTTTTAAAACCCAATTATTTAACTTCAATATGAGTAAAAACAATTCACCACTCTCAGTTACCTTTACTTTGAGTGCTTGAAGGTGTGTAAAAATACAAAGAATCTTTTGATTTCTTTTATTTCTCGAAAATAATCAGTACTAAAATGTCAAAGGGGTGCTCTACTTCTCAATGATTTTAAAATATGCACTATTTTTATTTATTTCTAATAAACCTTTCTGAACCACCTCCTGAAAAGAATTTATTCTTTCAGTGCTTTATTTAATAAGTTAACTGCCTGATACTTGAAAGTTTACTTGAAAATACATTTTCCAAAGTTCTTGTTTGGTCCTAGGTTTTACTTTGCATGTGATTTATCTGCAAAAGACATGTGATATCCAATTTAAGAAATGTATAGGTTGGGAAAACTGGATTTTTTTTTTTACCATATTCTTTATATTGTGGATATGTTCTCTCCTTGTGATTAAAAGACATAAATACAACTTTTATATAAAAATCACACACATAATCCCATTTCTGGAAGTTTAAAGACGAACCACATATGTGCACAAGTAATCAGAGCCTATGACTAGTCTCTTTGGTTTTTTCCCCCCCAAATGATTACTGTAACAAATATCGAGTATCAATGACTAAAGTAAAAACCATTTAAAAATCATTCTATTTTTCAGAAATAAATCTCATAAACACTAAAATTAATCCCAAATTCTGTATAAAAACTTAACTTACCAAAATATTCCTGAACAACCATCACATACAAATGGAAGAAAATCTAAAATTGAGGGAAAATGTTATATGTTCTGGTCAGTATCTGATTCTGATACAGTTTCCTTACGTAAAAAGAATCTTAAAAGTACTGAACCATGTCTATAGGAGAACTTTCCCTTTTGAACAATATCCTAGTGTAGCCAGCCGTGGTTAAAACAAAAGCCATCACAATCTCAAACACTCTGAAAGTAACTAGATTATCAGGAGATAGACGTTACTTGTAGCAGGATGCTAAAAAAAAAAAAAAAAAAAGTAGTCCTGTAGGGGTTTTGCTTGTTTGTTTGTTTCCTATATTTACTAGGTGTTGTATCTCAAGGCTGTATATTGCAATAATTCTGCATTTGAAGGGACAATCCTGGGTTTCAATTTTGCTTCCCTTGTTTACTAATTTAGCAATGCTAGGCAAGTTACTTAACAGTAGAGCTTTGTAGACAGATAGATAGATAGATACACACACATATACATAATATATACCTACACACACACATACACACACATTCTAGTGCTTCCGGAACCTGCCTGTTCCAGACGTTCCTAAGACCTGTGCCACACGACGATGGCAATTAGACTGCGTTACGTGTATCACAAGGTCTCTCGTGCAGCGGAGAGAAAACATCACCTTACTGATGGTCTAAAATGCAGTTAACTATCCTGTAAGCTTTTCTGTGGAAAAAGCTTTATTTTATACACTTTTATGGCCCCAGCATCACAAGAGGCGCCCAATAAATGTTCGCTGAATCGTTGATAATCAGAATCAAAGGATGACAGGGCTGAGTGAGCCTAATGATCCAACTGGAGGAAAAGCTAAGGGCCTTCTCGCTAGAAGCTCCTCTCCTGAGCAGCCCGCGAAAACCAGGTTAAAAACTGATCTCACCCAACTCCGTAACAGCTAAGTAACAGCTAAGGAAACAAAAAGTTTGGTAAAGACAAGTGGCTTGCCCAAGGTCGCAGTGGCAGGACCAGAGGGGAACTCTCCCGACTCCCAGACCAAAGCGTCCTCCCTCCCCGCGCTGATCAGAAAGGAGTGAGCGAGTTCTTGGCAAGGAGCCCTCGAAAACCAAAGTTAACACTGCAAGGTATGTTTTCAGGAAACGCATGTCCCTTTCAAGGAGACCATAAGCCTCTTGCAAAGCCTCAAGGGCAACAAAAAAAAGCACCAATACAGCCCACTGTCTAGCCACGAGGGACACGCCCGCCCCGCCTCCTCGCACTCCGCCTCGCCCCAAGGCCTTCCCTCTTCGCGCTACCGTGGAGGCAGAGCGAGACCCGGGTCTCCCGCGGCGCGGGCTAAGGGCCCCGGCGTCACCTCGCTGCCGGCAGTGCTCCACCTGGCAGTGCTGCCCAATGTCCAACTCCGCCATCTCTCTGCGCCTCGAGCGGCCGGAGGGCGGGGCCGGAGGGCGGGGGCGAGGACGCGCGCGACGCCTGCCGGAAGTGGGGCGGAGCCGGGGCGGGGCCTGCAGGTGGAGGCGGGGCGCGGGCTGAAAGCGGTCTGGCTGCTTTGCGAGTAGGGAGCGCTGAATAGGCGCGATCTGGCCGCGTGGTGAGGCTGCCAGAAGAAAGGGCTGTTGGTTTGTTCTTTTTTCGTCCCGGGCAGAAATGCTGTTGCTCAGTCTTTAGGAAAATACCCAACTGCCTTTCTGGAAGATTGAGTGCTTAGGATCCCTCTGTGCCGCAAACGGAATCCTGACGGCCTCACAAGGATTTTTTTTTTTAATTAATGTAACTCCATAATTCTAGGAAACAACACAGTTTGGCACAAGTATTGGCAAGAATCAAGTGAAGGAGAACGACACTGGTTCAATTCCTGACTCGTCCTACACCAGTGTTACTTGATTGTCTAGTTTAAAGTAAATGCTCCTTGCAAGGCGGTCAGGCTTTTTTAAAAGTAAAGATTTCTTTCTTTCTTTTTTTTTTTAATTCTGGTAGGAAAAAAAGTCTCTAGCTCTTGAGGTCGCGAGTCTGTTCTGAGCCGCATAGGGTTCCTCCGTTCCGAAAACCCTGACTCATTTAAAACACTATTTGAGGTGATTCCACTGGGATGTAGGGAGTTTCACGTGCTTGATGAGCCACTTCAAAGGTACTGAGAAAGGAGAGGCTATTCTAGGTGGTGTGCAAATGGATGCCATTCCACTAATGTGACACCAGACATGACTCAGAGTGGATGAGAGATGATCAAAGCTGTGCTAATGATAGGAACTGTAACAGTATCCAGTGCCCTCTGTATAACTTTGACTATTTCCAAATCAGTATTCACTGAGAAAAGGGGAAAAGTGGGATTGGGAAACAGGTATCATTACTTCAAGATTTGCTCCTGAATAAATCTGTTTAAAAATTTCATCTCAGACTTTTCTTGTGTCTCTGGAGAAACTTTAGATTTGAGAGCTGGAAGTAAAGATATCTCACTATATCCTAGCCTCTTTGTCTCTCTCTCTCTCTCTCTCTTTTTAAGATAAGAAAACCGGTTCATAGAAGTCAAATGATTTGCCCGAATAGTGGAATAGCCAGGACTAAAATCCAATTATCAAAGACTTCTGGTATTCTTGAATTTAAGAATCAATGGCTTCAGTATGGAGGTTCCTTAAAAGTCTAAAAACAGAGTTGCATATAATCCAGCAATCCCACTCTTGGGCATACATCTGGAAAGACAAAAGCTCTAATTTGGAAAGATACATGAATCCCAACTTCACAGCAGCACTATTTATAATAGCCAACACAGGGAAATAGCTTACGTGTCCATCCACAGGAATGGTTAAAGAAGACGTATATATGCACAATGCAACGTTTTCCTTTGGATCAGCCTGCCTCCCGTTCTTGGAGGTGTACTTTTCCTTTTCTAAATAAATCTTTTAAATCTTTCACTACACAGCACACTGTCTCCTGACTGTAAACTTAACTTTCAGGGGTCTTTACCTTTTGGAGTAACATACATACTATTATTATCCCCATTTCGCAGGATGGCTGATAAAAATTACTTAGCCCCTACATCCCTGTCCCCAGTATTGAAAATCACTCTCCTTCCCCATCTCCCCACTGATCTCTTAAATAATTGTACTTACCAGCTGTCCTCCTGCTCAGGCTCGTGGATCAGCCTCTTAGTTGGGATGTTTTCTCCTCTTTCCTCAAACTTACTTGGTTTCTTCCACCTCATCTTTCTGCTCTCAAAAGAGGTTCTAGGACCTGCCCCAGATCTGGATCAGATCCTTTGTTATATGTACTGGTTTCCTATTGTTGGTATAACTGAAGGAGAAATAATAAAATGGCCATGCTTAGGCTAGCTAATTCCTGGCCTCATATTTGCCATTTGCTTTCAAAACGGTCAGCAAATCTAACTGACCTGACACTGCCCCCAGCCCCAGGCCCATTGTTGCAATTGGAGTTAGAGTTAGTAATTTTCCTGTTTGCTTTACCTCACGCTGCCAACCGAAATTTACAATCCTGTCTGGATTCTGAGTCATTCCCCTAGGAAGGCAGTCACCGGATGACAACCTCAGGAGAATGACCAGACCCTCTGAAGTCCCTCCCGGCACATAATAAGTTTGCTCAGATAAAGAAGGTCGTGGGCTGATGACCCTCCAGACCACCGGATGGTCCCATGATGCCAGACAGACTCACCAAGATTTAGGAAGAAGCTTCACCAGCGACCCTTGCTGATTGATATCCCATCTTACTCCCCAGTTTGTTCACTATATAATCACTGAGCCCCAACCCTAAGACGGGTTCACAGTTTTGAAGGCACTAGCCCGCTGTGAGTCCCCTTTGCCTGGCAAAGTAATAAAGCTGCCTCTTTTCTTCTAAACTCTAAGACCCTGCCTCTCTGTTACTTGGCTTGTCAGGGACAGGAGCCGATCTTTCGGCAACATAACCAAGCTCCACAAATAGCATGACTTAACACGAAACAACACAAATTTATCATCTTACAGTCCTGGAGGTCAGAAGTCCTAAAACCAATGTGTTGGTATGGCTGTGTTCCTTCTGCAGGCTCTCGGGGAGAATCCAATTCTCCCGTTGTCTTTTTCGGCTTCTAGAGGCTGCCTGCATTCCTTGGCTCACAATTCCTTCCTCCATTCTCAGGGCCAGCAATGTGTCCTCCTCAAATATCTCTCTTCTCCCATCCTTCTCCACTCCCCACCTTTCTACAAATCTCCTTCTCTTGCTCTGACCCCTCTGGCCTCCCTCTTTTAAGGACCATTGTGATTACATTGGCCCCTCCTGGACATTTCGGGATACCCTCATCATGTCAAGATCCTTAACTTAATGACAACTTCAAAGTCCCTTTAGCCACGCAAGGTGACATAGTTCCAGGATTCAGGGATTAAGACATGGACAACTTGGGGGGGTGCATTATTTTATCTACCCCAATATACATTCTTGCGTTTCCTAGAATTGTTCAGTGCTTGACACATGGTAAGGTCTCAAAAACTATCTGTCCACCAAATCAATGAATGAACAAGTCAGCCTTGACATTTAGCTGCCCCATGCTGTTCTTAATCAGCATGAATGAAAATAGAATCTTCAGAACAAGGAACATAAACATGCTAGCCTGATTCACTGCTTGACTGATCCAAAACACCTGGAATACCGTTCTTGGTTCTGAGTACCACACTTCAAGAGTGAAAGAGGCAAACAGGGTCATCTTTAAAGGAAGGCAACAGGATGGTGATGAATGGAAAACAGTGTTATGGGCAACTCAGTGCCTTTATAAAACGTTTAATCAGTAGAGTTGAGGAAGTGTGTGAACAAAGAAAAACTCATCATCAAGACTGGCACCCCCAGTGTGTGTGTGTGTGTGTGTGTTGAAATGCATCATTCTTTTTTAGCAACAGTTTGCCCCAAAAGGAATTTTCACAGGTAAGCTATTCTTTAGAGAGTTAATTTTAGTTGTCGTGAGAAACATACATAAAATTATTCTGAAATGATGATGGCTTCAATTGTGTTCTGGCACAAACTGGGTATTCACATCTCATTAATTAACCAGAGGTTTTTTTGCTTTTTGGTAGGAAATAATAGTTACTACAAACTCTACTCCTTGAAATTCTCACCAATGAAAGGAATCAAATATTTTAAAATATGAACTAGTTTCTAGAGAAGGTGATCCCCTTTTAATATGAGAAGGTGATCCCCTCCTGCTCAAGTGCTGGGTGCAACAATGTCCAAAGTGTTTTCCTTTGCCTCAATTAAGATGCCCAGAGATTTTGTGAGAATCTTTGCACCCTGGTGTCAGATTTAAAGCCCAGAAGTACCGGTGTCTCTTCTGTATCAGAATGATGATAAAAATTACAATGCCTCTGCCACTATTTTCATATTTTATACCATCATTTGAATATTTAATCCTTTATGTTGTATTTCTTCATTCATGCATTCATCTTTTATTCAACAAATGTTGATAGAGTGCCTATGATATGCCAGAATTTGTTCCAGGAACAGAAAGTACACTGGTGAGTAAAACAAATAAAAATCCCAGGTCTCACAGGGCACATTCTGGTAGGGAGCGGCATGAAAAATAAACAGCATAACAAAACCAAGACAGCGTATGGTAGATGGTGGTAAGTGCTCCAAAGAAAAATAAAGCTGGGAAGTGAAGTAGGAATTCTGTAGGAGTAGGGGATGGGGGAGAGGGTTGCAGTTTTAAATAGGGTGGGAGGAGAAGGTGATACTTATGGAAAGAACTAAAGAAGGAGCCAATAAAATGGATGTCTGGTTTCTGAGCAGAAGAGTAGCCAGTGCAAAGCCTCTGCAGTGAGAGGGTGCCTGGTGGATTCTAGCCAGAGTGGGAAGACCAGGGTGGCTGGAGCAGAGTAGAAACCAGGGAGGATGGTAGGATGTGTGGACTGGGAGGTACTAGTGAAGTGAGCATTGGGTTGGCAGTACTTCTTTTGGGGCTTGAAGACATTTGTGAAGACCTTGGCTTTTTATTGGGTTAAGGTGAGACGTCAATGGAAGGCTTTGACCCAGAGTCACTCTGCTGAGTAGGGAGACAGCAGCAAGGTCAAGGTGAGCGCAAGGAAGTCAGTTAGAAGTCTACTGCTGTGTTGAGCTGAGAGCTGAGAGCTGAGAGTAGCTTGGAGCAGGGTGTTAGCAGGTTGATGGTGGCAAGTGGTCAGGCTTTTGTAGCAGTGAGAGCACATGGGGCGTGCTGATGGATTGGATGTGGGGTGAGAGAAAGTGAGGTGTCAAGGATGACTCCAAGAATTTGGGACTGAGCGAAAGGAAAGCTAGAGTTATCATTAAGTGAGAGGGGAAGGAGCAGGACTGGAGACAATTTGTATGTTCCTCGATTAGGTACCAAATCTCACATGACTGCACTCAGGTGTAATGACGTTCTGGAGGTAAAGGAAAGTGTTAAGAGTCAACTTTGGGACGGTTATGCAGTAAGGGTGACATTGAGGTAGAGGGTGGGCTACACTTCATTTGCTATCCATTAC